TGCCTTCAAAACTGCGTGCAAGAGGAAGCAGGAGTATACTACTTCCCAGATTCCTGAGATACCTGGGTAAAGTGGCAGACGTGGATGCCGAGTTGCGTTTTACTAAAAAAATCAATACATAAATCAACAAATCAGTGACTAGTTAACCTGTTTCTGGTCAGAAAATGCATCAGGCCTCTTTGATATGTTGGTAATATTTTAATGCCACTTCCAACATCTGCAACCATTCACTTCAGCCTCGTCACTCTCTTAGCCAGACCACTCATGAAAAACACAGTGACCAGAAAGAGCAGAACAGAATCTGTGTTTTCAGTTTGAACTGGGTGATGGTGAAATCAGAGGGAAGAGCTCAGAAACAGCATTTCTGTCCGACTGGGATGCCCACGCTTGTTCCTTTGACGGTATCTGAGCATGCTGCCCTGCATCCCAACTGTTCACAAATCATGGGCTGGAATCAGGCACACGAGTTTGAGCAGATTGAGGTTGTGCAGTTTGAGCAGATTGAGCACACAATTGAGCAGATTCAGGTTGTGCTGCTACAGGGTTACAGCAATTTTTCTGCTATTGAATACATCGACAATTTGATATAATCACAAAAGTAACGACCTGTACCAGACCGAATAGTAATCCAAATAAACATGTTTAAGTTGTATGATACAACTAACTCAGTAGAACAGGAGAATTACAGGAGAACAGCAGAATTAACTCGAGGATTTTACAGGAACGGCATACACAGTACATTCAGTTTTAAACATTTATTTTTCCACCTTAGGATTTACTCCAAGTTATGTTGACTTTTTTTCTAAAAATATATTACATTTACTTGAGATCACAATGGTGACAAAAAGAGTTATGTACATTTTCTGTTTTAACCATTCAGGTGCACGTGACCTTGCAAATAAGAGTAAGTAATTTATCAGCAACAATGCATCTTTATCCTCGCAATGAGAGCCGTGTTTCTCCAGGTCCAGGTTAATTTTTACTTTTTTGACCAGCTTTAGTCGGTTCTGCTGACCCACATTTATCTCAGTAGGAGAAGAAAGAATGCTCACTCCATAAATTCTTTATCAGTATTATCCTACTACTAGAAACCTGAGTCTAGTTCAGTACTAGGACTCACCTGGCTTTGAGATGACTCATCTAGAACACTCCTTCGACATGGAACTGTTTAAAAGTTTCTCTTATTCTCTTATTATAGCACCTTTCACCTTAAATCTAAACTTTGCTGCATTTTGTCTTCTACAATTTTGATTACCTGTTTGGATGCCATAGTTAACAGAGATAAGTATTTTCTTCTGCCAATACTATTTGAGCACAACTGTTGCTTCCTACAAAGAGACGGTAAGGTGGTTTTGATGAAATCAAGCTTGCAGGACCGTGCTTGCTCTCTGGTTTATGTACAATTAGCGTTCAGGTAGTGCAACTTCAGTCAAAGGTCTGTGATTACATTTAGAAAAGCAGTAGGGGCTCAGGTACCGTCACTGGAATCCAAGCAACAGGTTGGTTGGTTTGCTGTATGACTGAATTCCCACAAGAGGGTTCCGCATTAACTGGTAGCTATTGACTTGAATAGATGAATTAAGAGGTTCAAAGTGCATGTTCACTGAGTATTACCCCTGCACAACCTCCAGGCAGTACAACGCGTTGAGCTGCTCGATTCCCTTTAGTGTAACATACCTCTACGGAAGCGACACAAAGGAAAACTACATGTCAGAGATGCTGTAGCCCAACAACAGAGAGGGGGGAAAAAAAAAAAAGGACAAATTTTACTGAAGCGTAAAAAAATTAAACAGGAAATCAGACAAGAGTACGCTAATTCAGGCATTTTGACTTAAAATGGCAAGAGTTGCCTTACGAAACACTGAAAATAAGAAAGCTCCAAAATTATCTTAAGTGGAATATTTAATTTTTTTTTTTTAAGTCAACCACACACACAAGCACAAAAATCTGTGTGATCAGTCTTACAACTTTGAGATTTGTTACTTCCAGTTGGAAATACATCCCTAGTATTACCACTTCGCAGTAGCGAGATGCCCCGCTTACTGGGAGAACTCCCATTCACTGAATGGACGCAACACGGGAGTGACAGATGCTTCTTTAGCGTCACACTCTTCAGTGAAAGCTTATTTCACTGAGGCATTATCAATTACCCAAGTTTTCTACTAGTGGTAGCAGCCAAAAGCAAAGAACTTTGGCAAGATTCAGGTAACAGCCAACTCAAGAGATACTAACAACACAGGAGTGCAATTTTTGCTTGGTCTCGCAGAACAGAACCTATTCCTTGTGGTAGGAACGTCTGTTGCTCCTCATCAAGGACGCTGATCTGCCATAGGTGTAACAGAGCACCACCTCCTCTTCCACCGCGCAGTCACGCAAGTACACAGAGAAAGGCATTTGTATTACCAGCTCTGCACCTATAGGTTTTGGTAACTAAAACATACGGTATTTTAATGAGAATTAAATTTAATTCTTTAATGAGAATGCTTTGAGTGGAGAACGGAGCAATGTTTGCAATAAAAATTATTCGCAAGGCACAATGCGGGTGCTAAATGTTTAGGCGTGTCTCTTCACCCAAAAGGCAAAAAAGTTCCTCCCAACTGAAGAGTGATGTGAATACCTAAGGATTCCTGCAATATGCAAGTCATCTGGTTTACATCTATGCACTAACCCCAGCAGGATAAATTAAATTTTCAAGCAGCGTACATGCAGAGCACTTCCAGAAAAAGGCCAATTTGGACAGTCTCTCTCTCAGTCGTATTGGAGAACAAGCACTGCAAAGTCACAACAAAGGAAGAGCCACTTCAGATTTAACATGGGAATGAAATTAAAAGTAACTGTTACCCAACGCTGCAAATATATATTCCTGCATTAAAGTGTATGTGTCCTAAATTTAAACATATCCTAAATTTAGCAACTCTGTCAAGGCTACACCTATGAAAATTCCTACTGAGTTTTCAGTCCTTAAAACAGCGGTTTGTAATGACAGACTTAAATACAAACAGCTTATGTAATAGTACAATGTCTACAGCATAACATGTAATAGTACAAATGGTCATTGTACTTGTTTTTCAGTACTCTGTACAAAGCCAAACGAGGCAAAAAAGATGTTTCAGACACTTTGTGGTTTTGTTTCTTTTTCAAGAAAAATGAATTAAAAAAACGTCAAACTGGCAGACAATGAAATGTAAAAGTTTTCGTATTAAAAACAGTTGTCAAATCTCTTCATGCACCCACTCTATCCTACATCCTGAAGCTGTAAAAAATCGTTAAGTCTTATCCTAAGTACCTGACTTCTTAAATTGCCAAGACAGACAGGAGTTGACTCCATTTACACATACAAACAAGTGATTAAATACACTTCTTAAAAAACAAAGGCCTTTATCCACGAGAAAATATAGGAAACATTACGGAGAAGAACACACAGGTTTGCTGCAACAGCAAAGGGGATGGAGCGCCTGGAAGGCCACCTTCTTGCTAGCAACAGGAGATGCTCTAACATCATTATTTCTTGTCAAAGAAACACGGGCACTCGGCAGAAAGTCTGACAGAGTGAACACAAAACGCGAAGTTCAGAGACCTTTAGGGTTTGCGCGTAACTCGCCACCCGGTTCTCTCCCTGCAGAGAGCGGGGAAAAAGAGCACGTTTCGGTTTTCATACCTATTGACTTAGAAACAAAGTCAGGCTTCCGACATGAATTCACACAGTGAAAAGTCCTTCCTCCAAGAATATATAGGATCGCTCGACTCATTTTCATTCTCATACACCATTTAAAAAACTATTAAAACTCTTTTAATATTTTCAAGCAGCATATTTTGCATTTGTCACTGGCAGGTTTGTTGTAGAAATCCTAGAAAGTTAAAATTATATCATACCATACAAAAACATGTAAACAAACCCGGTATTTTTTTAAAAGGCATGCATGCTTTTGAAGAGGATTAGAAAGTGTTTAGTTTTGGTAAATAAAAGTAATTTGCTTAGCATTTTTAAAAGCACCTTAGTGATTTAGGAGCCCAAGTCCAAAGAACTTTAATTTAGATTTTAGCTCCTGAACATATAAATCAATTCTGTAAAGTTACTTAAGCACTTTGAAAAATTTTTGCCATGTCTCTGATCTTGCAGAATTAGATTTTCTGTAACCAGCAGCTAACTTTGAATCTGAGACAACATTCAAGAACGTCTCATTAATGTAATTCAGTCATCAGCTGCAGTTTTTGGATCCTCCATAACTTAGTTTATGGTATCGACGAAAATTTTTTCCAAAGAAGAGAAGTGTTTGGTGACACCACTTTGCAAGTTCCTTTTTCACAGACAACGCAGCATACAAGAATCAAATCTGAACAGGAATATGATTGTATTTTGTTCTTTCTGAACAGGTACTAGTGTCAAAGACTGTGTTATTTGTTCAACCTGTTAAGACTGAGAAAAACAAACTTTCAAAAACGTGTAGCACAGCATTATGTAAAAAGAAGGAGCATTTTTGGCACCATACATTTTTAAATCCAAGCTTTCAGGCCCAAAGTATAGCAAGATAAACGTACACAGTGGCAGTTGGGAAAGTCTCGTCTGAAATGCAACATTTTCAAAGGAAAATTTTTTTGGAAGATTCTGTTTTATGATCATTAGCTTATCTCCAAGTAACATATACATTGGAATTTCACCTAAATATTCATACCAAACGTTTACATATATACCTTAGCACTCATATATATAATACAAGTATATTGCACCCACAGAACTGCCAGAATCTGTATTAATATAGTCAGACATAAACCGCAGTGTCTTCTTTTTGCTCTTCATTTATCTTCTTAGTGTCCTGACTAACCAATTCTAACATTTTCTTTGAAATTTAGTTGCAAGATTGCTACTTTACCTTGGGCCATAGTGTTATGGTTTGTACCTACACTTGTCAGTGTTATCCTCATGTTAAATGTGCTCTGCAATTCAGCAATACCTAGTTCATAGCTCTGCAAATAATTCCTTGGAAAAGGAGAAGCTTGCCTAATTTTTACGAAGTGCACAGGGCAGCCACGGTTCTGTGTTTTCCCACCAGGTGTCTCACTCTACACACCAAAACCCACTGCATCAGCAAGTTTACATAAATCCACCCTCTTTCAAGGATCCGATAGGCACAAGATTTGCTAAAGCACTGGTGAAAATACCTCTACAGCTGGCTTTATTCTGTACTCAATTGCACAACTTCATCCAATTCACTGGGCTGGTTTTCTTTTCTTTCAAAAGTAGTCTAAAGTATGCTGCAGTTGCTAAAAGGACTTCTGTTTTTCTTGGTCCTCTGTTTGTTTGGTTTAAGGTTGATGACATCTCCGCCATTAAGAGTGCTAGAATTTTGGTTGGAGTGACTTCCACCAGCTGTATTAAAAACACCTACAGAATTTAAAGAAAGAGAAGTATTTGCATTTCTTTGCTTCCTGCAGTGTAACACATTAACACTTAAGACACAACACTTACTAAGGCATTGTAGCCACCTCAAACGCATACTCCAGTTTACAAAGGCTTTATCTATTTCTGAGTCAATTCTGCAGCTAAATTTGAAGTAGAGCCAGTTGGAATTACTAGCCAGGCAGTATTTCAAGCTGGTATACATCTATGTAATTGAAGGGCAGCATATGCACTCATCTGCCTATGTGTATGCTACTAATTACATGGTAACAAAGTTATGGTTAGTTAAGTAATGCAATAAAAGAAAAACATGACAATTTTGAAGTTAGAAAATTTGCGGAGATAAAGGTAAGGAAAATGCCTGAATAAAAAGGGCTTGCTTTAAGGAAAAAAAAAAATGAACTGACTCAGAAGCACTTTAAAGAAGGACTACAGAAGTTCAGTGTTCCCTTACAAAAGGCAGTTTACAAAGACCTTCTGATTACATGCCAGATTCTTTTACCATGAGTCTCTTGTCAATCCACACCAAGATGAGTAACACTAATACTAATTACATTAAAAAACCCAACAGGCATCCTTTCTTAGGTCTTTACACAATGTTTGTTTAAACGAATTTAATAAAAGGGCACTTGCCAAACATTAGCTAGAAACTTTAGAGTATCAGTTTGACAATCTTACAGAGTCACAAAGTTATTTTACAGAAGGAAAGGAGACAATATCTTAGATAGGAAGGTAACAATTAGACTCTGATTCACCTCATATTAACTCCATAAGGAAACAGATGAGACCATAAGCTTTGATGGCACAAAATACTGTCTTGCGTTTTTTTATTACAGTATACATACCAATCTTGTTACTGCTTGTATGTACTAGTTCTGGATCTTCTGCTGTTTGTTGCTTGAGCCTCTGAAGATATTTATCAGCCAAATACTTAAAAACTGGAATGTTAAAAAGAAAAAAGGTACATCAGAGTATGCTTAAAAATAACCTGCGTATCAATAACAATACCTTCATGCCAAAATTCTGTGGGGTTGTAAGAATGCATTCAGCACCGCAGGTTTAGCAGGATCCGGTGAAGCAGCTCGCTCTCGGCAGGCCTGTGTACCTGAGCAGAATCCAGATGCTCCAGTGCCTAACCAGCTCTTACAGTCTGCAGTACTAGGGTCCTATGCAGCAGAGAGACACATCTCAATGCTCCTGTAATAAAGCTGGCGCATACATATTGCCAAATATTCCAATTCATGCAACTTGGCACTTTTTAAAATTATGTAGGAATTTAGTATGTATATTTTTTGCAAGAAGCCTTAGAATAATAGCAATCATGTAAAGTAAGGCTATTAATAAAGCTTGGCAGCAACATTTTCCTAATTAACTAATGCTACCCTCATTTGTATTGGGGTTGAGAAAGTCTACCTAGGATTCTGAAAAAAACGTACAACTATAAGAGAATTTTCAGAACCTATATATGTTAGCATGTAAAGATGATACAGAAACATTTTAATTTTCTCTTGTAGATGTTTTTTCCAAGGTGAATGATTTTAACAGAGAAACAATTAGTTTACTATTAAGTTTGCCTGATTAAACAACAGTTATCAGAGACTGTAATTCATGATTATTCAAACCTACCCCACAAAAGATAGTGATTGAATTTTATAACAATACTCTTACGAAATTAAATATATACATTAAAATATATACTTGGGAACTAGTAAAATATCATCAGTAGAGAAAAGGCTAGAAGAGTTCCAATCTTTTAATGTACTTTATTTAAATATAACTAAACTACGAAATTACTGTTTGCATCAATTATTTATTACCTATGAACAATTAAAAAATAATTTGTTCAACCATTTGTATATTGTAATAATTGAACTTCTACGTATCTTTATTTTTAAAAGACCAGTACTTCCTGACACTCATTAGAACTAAGCACCCTTAGCACACTGGCACTTCTAAATATCGAAGCCGTGCCCCGTTTGTGGAAGAGAAAGGAAAGATGCACATGAACAGGCCTTACACACTGACATCAAGTAATTCTAGCTACGTTTAAAGCATGCTGCCAAGAAACAGAAGGATTGCCAGCAGCATGCAGCAACATGGAAAGTAACAGACCAGCTCCAAACTGGAAAGATGTGCAGCACTACAGAGCGAAGGGCAGGACCGACACCTGTGCTGCTGTATCCCGTACCTTCTGTTACGTTTAGGTCTTCCTTTACGGATGCTCGGTAGAACCTTAATTTTAGCTTCTTTGCCAGTGCTTCTGCCTCTTCGCTGCACAACAGAAAAAGACTTTGTAAATACTGATTTGTATCATTTGTCAGTAGTTGTTCTTATAGACAAAATGCTTCCTGGTAAGTTAAACATGAGAAGATGGGTTAAGAAACTCAGTCAAAAAATACTTGATCCTTAATTTCTTTACAATATCTCCACTATAACAAGAAAAGACTTTACATCAGTTTCTTTATGACCAAAAGCAATTGATCTTTAATATTTATTGACTTCATTAAATAAAATTTCCCAAGGGTTCGAAGACAGGTGTCAGCGAAACCAAAAGGAAGAAGACTGTTATTAACAGCACTAGAATCAGAATAATTGCCACTGCAAAGTCAAAACAACAACAAAAAAGTAATCCTTAAGTATATTATGCATACAGGCTGAGAGAGTTGGGGCTGTTCAGCCTGGAGAAGAGAAGGCTTCAGGTGATCTTCTAGCAGCCTTCCAGTACCTAAAGTGGGCCTACAGGAAAGCTGGAGAGGGACTTTTTACAAGGGCAGGGAGTGATAGGACAAGGAGCAATGGCTTTAAACTGAGAGGGCAGATTTTGTTTAGATGTAAGGAGGAAATTCTTCACTCTGAGGGTGGTGAAACACTGGAACAGGTTGCCTAGAGAAGTTGTGGATGGCTCACCCCTAGAAGTGTTCAAGGCCAGGTTGGATGAGGCATGGAGCAACCTGATGTAGTGGAGGGTGTCCCTGCCCATGGCAGGGGGGTTGGAACTAGATGATCTTTAAGGTCCCTTCCAACCCAAACCATTCTGTGATTCTATGATATTTTAATAAAGCAGTAGACTATGCAATTAGATGAGTGCAGAGATGAAATCAACAACTATATTTTTCTGTAAGGAAAAGCTGACAAAACATATGAACATTTCACCAAGGCAAATCGCATCACCAGAAAGATGAAGTTACTGAGGCAGATGTAGTATTCTGAGAGCAAAACCTAAGCAACATACCATGAATAAAGGAGGAGTTCAAATGCAATTTTGCTTTTCCTTTGAAAAATCCTCAGTATTCTTTGCAGAGGGAGTAGAAGCTGATTCATGCCATCAATGATAGCAAACAGAACAGAGAAAGCCAGTGCAGGAAACAACAAAAAGAAGAAATAATTTAAATCTCTCAGGAAGATGGTAGAAATAAAGAAGAGGAGAATGATCAACTTCATCATGCAGTATTTTTCTACATGATACGCTGTGGTAAATAAAAGTTAGCATTTGTTAAGCTGAATTTATGGCAAGAATGAAATTGCTCATATATACAAAGGCAGAACGAACTGACAGTAAAATCTGTAAAGAAAAATATAGTGAAGAAGGATCAGCGCCATGCAGTTTGAGAATATTAACAGACAGGTATTTCTCTTTAGTTATGTCTTGACAAAAACGAGCAATAAAACCTAATTAAAGAAAAGCAAAGCAAAGAATGTTAAGATACTTTTTCAAACTACCTGTTTAATACTACTTCATCGTTTTAGCAAGCATTCACTCGCCAAACTAGACAAACTAGACACTGGTGCACAGCATAGTTTAACAGTAACTGCAAATTTTCACAGGAGAGAAAATTTGCAGTTTTAGAATTTCTGATTAAAAAAAAAAAAAAGAGAGAGAATCGTATCATGGCACAACCAAACTCTTCATGATATTCCTCTTTTTTTTTTGGCTGACACTTGAGAAGAAGGCATGAAGCAAACAGAAAGCTCCTAGCTTGGCAAGCACATCTGCCCAAGTAACTACACTCATGCAGCAATACCTGTCACTGGTGCTTCCAGGGCATGTTTTGATGCAGGGCATAGGTCTGTCAACCTAGATACTGTAATTCATCAGCAACTCCCAAAGATATTTTTTTTTTTAAACATGTGTATACAGGGGACATATACTGTTCTTGAAAAACAGTAAGATAAAACTCCTACTTCTTTATACAAGAGTCATCAAGAAGATCAATCTTATTCTGCACAAGAACTGTGGGAATGTCTCCAACTTCGGCCACGACTTTCTCCTTCCAGGTAGGGATTGCTTTGAAGGACTCTCTGTCAGTTGTAGAAAACACAAGAACACAAGCCTGGGCTCCTAAAAATATACAAATCAATTACAAATACAAATAAATACAAAACAACTAACAAACATTAAAAAAAAGGAATCATCATATATAATGTATTTCAAGTATGAGGGATTTTTCAAGTTTCTCCCATAAAAGTGCACTTTTATCATCTATAAAACCAATGCTCATAAATTCCCTAAACGAAAACAGACTGCTGTATGATTTTGATCATTATACCCGTTCTTCCTGATGGCTACAGGCCTGCTACCTCTCAAGCTATTTCCAGCATGGTGCACATATGCAGGGGAAAGGAACAGGACGGGCTGTAGGAAGGCTGGAAAAAGGGAAAGGGAGGTTTGCTTATTGCTCACTGTTTTCCAGAGAGTTTAATGGAAGCCAGAAGGCAAATATTTTTCCATATGCAGTATCTGTAGAGCACACTTCATGTTATTCTTTGTGCTATAGTAATTTGGATTTTGAAAAGCAGAAAAAGTTTTCAGAGAAAGTTGTGATTATTTCAAGTAAATCATTTAGCAGCTTTTTGAAGAAAGTGTATTTCTAATTCATACTCATTCTATCACAGCACCATGATAAATTATACAAAATGTTTTGTACCATTTTGTTATGGTTTTGAAACAGTCTTAGCAAGCAATAGTTAAAACTCATGGATACGGAGAAGGTACTTCCACACTCGAAATATTAGTGAGTGGTCTTTTGATTGTCCAGTAGCCCTTTGTTATCCTCAAGAAACTACTTTTCTTTGCACATAAACACATGGAGAAACACTTTATTATTTATACACCTTTAATATACCTGATATTTAGTAACGGAGTGTAAAAGGAATAGATAGCTAACGTCTTTGAGACTCCAGTGTTATCTTGTGGCGAATATCCCAATCTAATTATACATGGCATGAAAAATTATTTCAGCAATATGAATTTTCTTTTATCTATGAGCTTCATCAAGTATCCTCCATTCCTGTATTCTGTTTGTCTTATTTCTTTGGCATAAAGCACTCGAGTTTTTTTATTAGGTTTCCTTTTATTTATCTTTTCAAAGCCAAGTTCAGTCTATCTTTACAGAAGTTTTCTTATGCTCTTTAATGTTCTTTCACATGCCATTAAGAGCCTTCTGGTATGGTTTTATACAGAATCAGAACTACCCTCAGAATTGCAGATCAAGCTCTACCAATAAAACAGTAGCAATGTAGTCTTCCATAATTTTCCCTATTACTTGTGTTCTAAAATTTTGTTTTCCCTAACGTCCGCACCATATTCTAATGTGTGCAATTCTTCTGATGCAATTCCACTTATAGTCCTGTGAGACAGGCGTAAAATTGAATATTCTTTACAAAGCAGCTGAATTTAACCTATCATCTCACAGTCTAGCTTAATAAAGCCTCTCAAGTTCTTTGCTCTACTCAAGATGAGAATACTTATTAAACGACTCTCACCACATGTAAGCAACATCCTGTTCAGTTTTAAGACTAAGAAATCTGTTGTGAAGTTTCCACTATTACACACTTTCACTTCATCTCTCCTTCCACCCATACCTTCTGAATGCTAAAACACAGAGACAACTTGGTAATAGTTTAGAGGGAAAGCTCCTAGCATGTGGTAGGTAAAAAAGAGCTGACTTACAACATCAGACCTGCTTATTCAATTTAGATATAATACATGTAGAAAGTAGCGGACAGAGACAGTAAAAATAACTCAGCTTGGTCATTTAGCAGCTTTTTAAAAAGAATTATATGATAGGCTCCAATTAGGAATCGAACAGAAATATTTTTGAGGACCTTCAAGATTCTGACACTTAAAGGTTCTTACCAGGAAGTTAACAAACAACAGTAAACGACAGTGTCTTTTCTCATCAAGAGATACACCTGTGTATCAACAATGACAAATTCTATGCATATATTCCATATGTAACTGTGTATTTCCAAATGTCTGCTGATGATTGGATTTTAAGAAATATCAGAGTTTACTAATCCAATAACTCTGCAAAATGCTTATTTAAGAAGAGAAGAACAAAAGCAGTATTCTTCTCACGCTCAATTCAAAACAATATTAAACGTGATCTTTCTGAAAGCATGCTTCTGTACAGTGCACAAATTAGTATGGCAACAGAGTTCACCAGAAGATGCTGCAGGGCAGAGGTCTTGCTAGGTAAATTCCTTTTGTCTTCTAAGAATATTGCTAAATTCTCAATATTTTTATTGGGAACATAAAGCAGTTTAAGAAACTACAATGTCCATTATATTAAAAGCTCTAAGAAGAAAATAAAATAAGAAAAAAAACCAACAAAAAGCAGGATTTAAACACTGAAACACCTTTCTGTATGCAGTGACTGACAGTATTCAAGAGTCAACAACATTATCTCACTCATCCCCCTCCAAATGGAGTCATACATCACCTCTGTCACGCAACAGGTTGTACACAACAACAGACACCAGCTGCAAAGGCATAGGATAGTATCGGACAGGAGTCTAACAGCTAAAACCACAATGTTCTCGATTAATATTTTAAATCCAAGTTCTTTTCTAAGAAGCTGTTTTGTAAAGCTACCTTAAAGTACTGAAGAAAAGGATACTGGATTTTTTGCGTACAGTTACTGCGTTGACAACCTCTATAACTTTATTTTAAAAAGGTTCCAACTGGCTGCATAATCACCGATATGATATTCATATCTACACTAACTCAGAAAAAAACTTAGCAGTGCTACCATCTCTACTCGATTCAAGTAGAGCATGAGCTTGTCAGCTGAGTAGGTCTCAAAGATCCTCAGCAGACTATCCAATCCTTACAGGCTCCATAATCGCATTTTCTCCTTTCATAACAGTACACAGCCTACGTAACAGAAAATATGTAAAGAAATTCCTTGCCATGAGTGGACTCACGCAGGGCTTTACACTTGGCACCTATTCGTTTCACTCTTCTGTTCTTTGCCTCAGCTTTTTCAGGCTGTAATGGAAAACACACGTTCACTATAAAACTGCTGGCAGTTCCTTCAACCTTAAACTGAGATAAGGTGCAAGGTCAAATGATATCATTATCCAGAAGCTCTTGTTTACTGTTGATGTTCTAACTGCTGTGGATCCTGGCTGTCTTTAACAGGCTTAGCAGCATTTAAGGTCTCACTAGCAGTATCCAAAAGAGGGCTGCCTTGCTCAAAACGGATCAGAAGAGTCTTGCAGCCCTCCCATTATCATAGTTACTACAGCCTGAAGTGGATGACAGGTGCAAGCTAGAGCAATGCTGTGATGGCTTGAGAAGTGTGAAGTCTAACTATTGTGCAACAAAACGAAGAGCCTGAGAATTTGACTAATCAGCAAGTGAATAACACACTAATGAGCAAGATGTCTGTTTTCCATCAAAAACCTAACAAGGGTCTACTCAAGGTAGCAGTGGTAGCGGATGGAAGAGGGCGCACGCACGAAGAAGCCATCAAATACTGCTTTGAGAAACACCTGTAACGTGGACAGGACACATGGTGCTGCCAATGACAGCCACTTGTGCACGTACTTGGCATATAAAAGTACCTAGCCAAGTAGAAGGCGTGTGACTTCCATCAGGCAGCAACTGGTAAGATGCATGATACAATATAAAAAAGAAACTATTAAATACATACAGAGCTCCCTTCAACTCTTTGAATTTTTGTTGTTGGACTCCTTGCGTTGCATGATCATGGGCATGCAGCTACACTCACTGCACACACTCGCCTGTACACAGAAAACCGCATAACAAATCCACTGTCAGCTCCAATTTTGTTTCTCTGCAAGGCTGAATGAATTTGATCCCTGGATAAGAACTGGCTCTGAAGCATTCGTTGTGTGACCATGGATGAGCAGCTGATCCCTGAAGAACTAACAATACACAAGGTTCCAGGAGAGTATGTAAGCCCTAGTGTAACGATAGTGGGACAGTGATCTGTGGGAGAGGCAGGCCTTGAAGTAACAGCCAGTGCCTTACCTACCTTAAAGGCGTCCTCCCCATCCTCCCCATACCAGCAATAATTGGCAATGAAATCCTTGCATTTCTAAAGTAAGCTTGACCTTTTGTTTCTACAATATTGTGCTTGCAGACCTGATGATGAACCAAAATTGCATTCCAAGCTCTCATCATTTCCCGTGTCCTTCACGAGTCAAAGTCCAGTGCAGAACAGTCATTGTATCTAATAGCTTGAGCAGTTAATACATCCATGACACTGTCTACAATGTGCATCCACAGGATGACTATGTCCTATTTCACAGCTGCCTCTTCAGTGTAAATATCTTGAAGGTAGGGATCTAACTGCACTATGCCGGGCACAAGTCCTGAGCAAGATTTCAAGATACTCAGGACAGTGGTAAGTGAAGCCAGTGAGTGCACTTTAAAGTGCTTCTGAACACTCCATATTTTAGCATACCAGTCCCACTAATTAGGATAAAAACACCTTGGCTTGGAAAAACTAAGGAAAGCAAAGCACGCAAGAGAACTGAAGGCCAGGAGAGTAAAAGGAAGCTTCGAGAGAATAAAATACTACCTTCTAAAATTCATATGCTCAACTTGTCAGCTGTAAAATAACAGAATGATCTGTTTTCACATGAGGACAAAAAGGAAGAGGAAAAGAAGTATCCTTCTCTGAAGAAATGGTAAGCATCAATTATGAGTGACAACTAGAAATATTACAAAAGAAACCCCAACCCTATTAGTTGCCAAAAACGATCATGAAATATAAAAAGGTCAGAGGACTATACCACCCTGAAACAGCACAGGATAACTATTATTTTATCTCTAAATTTTAATAAAAATGATTTATTTTTAATAAAAAGAAAAAGATTTTATACCATAGTGATATATTTTTCCCACTCATCAGGTAATTAGTTTGACAAGAACTGAACAATGGAATCTTTGCCAAGTCATTCAAATCTCTCACGTTAAAAAACCAAAAGGAAATATTTTCGCAACCATTGTTAAATTATCTGTAAAGAAAGCCTAAATGTGCACTTTGTAACTGGCTAAACAGATAACCTACCTTTATATGACTGAACAATATATCTCCTATTTTATGAAGTAAATATGCTTTCCTTATTACTTTGTTGTGCTAACGTGTTCAAGGCATTCTGTACTAGCAAGAGAACTGCCAGGCCTAGTAAACTATCTTTCCAGGATGACTGGCATATTTTTTTTTCCCTTGGATTGATTTCTAAGTGCCTCAGCCATAGATTTTGAAACATTTACAAATATATGTCTTACAGAAGTAAGAAAACATTTTTAGAGGAAAAAACATAATTTTGCATTTGATTGTCTGAATGGCTACATTCTGTGCAGTTTCTGTGCAGACATTTGTCTCATTTTGTTCTATGTTTTTTAAAGGGCACCACTGAGCATCCTGCATAGTGACACTTAATTAAGGCAAGATCTTACATGAAGGGGAAAAACATTTAAGAACTGAAAAAGGTGAACTAAAAATGCTTTGAACACACATGGAAGAACTAAAATTCTTCATACAGAGACAGGAAAATACCTTAGAGATGTGCAGATAAAAAAAAAATAAGAACTGTCAAATAGCAAACATGGTAGTTTCACCTCTATAGTAGGCCTTCGTTATTGCATCAAATTCTTCTTGACCAGCAGTGTCCCATAACATCAGCCTGACATCTTCATCATTAACTCTGAAATAAATGACACGGTTTTGTAATTAATTCAACAAACAAGAGCAATTCAAGACAACTGATATGGAAATAGTTCTGTGTCTACAATATAAGTGCAATTCAGTTCAAATTTATCTTCATATAAATATAATGTTACTTAATATTGATAATGGTTCAGCTCTGTAACATGCTAGGGCAGTAGTCCCTCAATTACACCACGTGCTCTTTCGTGACAGTTCATACTACGTTTTCTTCTTCCTTTCCTCCTCTTCCTCTACATTTTCCTCTATGAAAAAAAATAATATAGACTTCAAAATAAAACTTAGGTATCTGAATAATGGTCCTTTCATCTTTTTAATCAGCTTACAAAACTTAGAATTTCCTTAATTCTCATTACTATAGCATTTTCCATTTACCAAGCATAATTGGGCAATATCTGCTTATATTACATAGACTAAATCTACAGCATATTTCATATTTCTTTCCATAGTCATTTTAATCTACATTGGCTAATAAATTCATGTAATCATTTTATCGTAGGTACTTCCACTTCCTCCGCAGGAAATAAAAAAAAATAATAAATCAACAGGTGGTAGAATACAAAGGAAAGTCATCAAAAAGCTTAGTACGACAGAAGTTCCAAGTTTTATTTTGATTTATAATTCTAAATCTTGTATGGAAAATAGAGTGATACAGTCTTATCCCACTGTGTAAGAGAGAAAACAACTCCATTTACTGTGCTTTGGAGACAGCAGGCCTTGATTCAAGCCTTTGTAATTCTTAGGATTACAAGAGAACAAAGAAATATAGGGAAAGGTAAAAATCAATAGCATGGCATTTGTTTAATACATACTGGATTTGTCTTTCCAGGAAATCTACACCAATAGTTTTCTTGTAGTCTTTTGTAAAAATCCCCTTGCAATATCGCTGAATCATACTGGACTTTCCAACAGCTCCATTTCCTACCACCACCACCTTGATGGCCACCTCCATATCTTCTTCCAACATCTTTGCAGCCCAAGTGACTCTTTAGCTTATTCAGGAAGCTATCGATTCTGTAAATAAAGTAAACAGATATGGTCATGAAAATGCTGTGAAGAGAAAGCAAGAGGAAATACAATCACATGTTAGGATCACAGAATCAACAAAGGATCAACATAGGATCCACAAAGACTGTACAATTTATTTTCAGCTCTGCCACAGACTGCTAAAGTGACCTTAGGCATGTTATATTAGACAGTCTGTACTTTGACTTGCCACTTAGGAACTGGAAATTAATGTAACTGTTAATAAAAAGTATCCTTCCACTGTATGAACATATCATCATATGTTGATTACATTCCTGATCCTCCACTGCTAACACATACAAGACACTCAACTGATCAACCTAGCACGTAGCACGAGTCTGAAGTACGGCAACTTCTAACTTCGGACACTATTATACCCAGTTCAGGTATTGTGACCTAACACCAACACTGCTGCTCTGGAGACACAAACCTGTATCATTCTGTGACTGTATCCCTTACTCCAGTTCTTATTAACGCGTCTAACTTTCTGAGGAAGTCGATAAAAATCATAATAAATTTGGGTGCTCTTATTCATTAATTTTTTGGCACGTGAATCAAAACATTAAATGTATAAATATTATTGGGTAATTCTAAGGATAGTACATTTTCCAGAGTTTAGGGTTTTTTAAACAAGAAATTGAGTAATCCAACTGTTTTAAAACATGTTTAAAGGCCTAAACTCTTACATAATTTATCTTACCAATACTCAATAGACAAATTACTTACATTTAAAAAGTTGGTATCGTAAGTATATTAGGTGTGACCATAGTCTCACATCAAAGCCATGGCAGGGGAGCCACCTAATTTACCTCTGATTCGGTTTTGCCCAGGTACAGCATACATTAACCAGAGACAAAGCCAAGCTGCTGAAGCACATGGACAAAGTTCACAGTGCAAGCGGTTACAGCAGACACGGAAATTTTTATATAAACTAAAATTCCAATGCGCAAAAGTGAAAAAATAATGTATTTGGCTTAACGTAAAGATATTTAATTCAAGTTTTGGTGGTTTGTTTGTTTGGTTTTTTTATGAGGAAGAAACAGAGGTGGAAGTTTCCCCCGCCTTTTGCTGTGCCGGGACATCATCACAGGAACACTTCGCATCTGCAAAGCGGCACATTTCCTCCCAAGAGGTAAGGAACCCTCCTTTCAAAGGAGGAGAAAACACCTATTTTAAAGACTTTGCCCACCCCCC